ACAGCTGCCCGCTGTTCTGTTTGAAACTGGACCATAAAACAGCAAAGTCACAAGTTTGGGTCGCAGAGCCAAACAGCAACTGAACTTATCAAATAAAAACAACAAAACAAGCTGTGTGAAGCCAAGGGAAGCCGAAGTGTTGGGGGACAGTTGTTTCATCCTTTTGACTTTAAGATGGTCATTCATCTCTGCCTCAGTCAAACCCCCATCACCAACATGGAGTTCTTTTTGCTGCCTGCAGAGCATGAGAGTGGCTTTTAACTAAAGCTAATAAAACCTTTTTGAAGACGAGACAGAGATACGGTGCCATTAGTTTCTGAAGTGCCCCACATACGTATTACTGAGTTGTCCTTAAAGAGACGTCAAGCCATGAGTGGCGTGATCCCAACAGGAATGAGTATCGGTGCTTTTGCTGAGCTCACTGAGACTTATGTGGTACTACTCGATGCATATTTTGCGCACATACATTCCATGCAAATTGACTTTGAAGTGTTGGTGTGAAAGCAATTAGTCAGCTAGGACATTGGAATGTAATTGTGGGTTTTTTTTTTTTTGTTATCTTATTTTCCCTAAGAGTATGTACAGATGGTGCTGATCGTCCTGCATCATGAACTGCATAATAGAAGTTCACTGGAGGGTGTTTCAGTCTGCCCCCTCAAGCCTGCTTTCCCAACCTTCTATGTCTCTGTTTTTCAAGGTTTTTATTTTGTTTTTATGTCTTTTCTTTGGAGTGGGGGTGGGGGGTTGTTGTTTATAACTTACAGTGAAACAGGGTCAGAACCCAGGATACTGCAGGGGGAGAGCATGTAAAGTGAGATGTGAGGACGCGGAGTGTGTTTGATGGGTGTTTGGCAGCTTGACAGTGAAGCATCCTCGCAAACTGTTGGCCTCTTACTGGTGTGCGCCGCTCTTTTTATGGGGCAGTGGAGGATGGTGCAGTTTGGCAGATGGCATCAATAGAGAGTGTTCATTTGAAATTCCTCATTCAGTCGGAGATATCATTCTCTTTCTTCTCTGCTACTTTCTAAATGTATATACAGTGGTGCCTTCACTTAGAGTTTACGTCTTCGTCTGCAAATCAGATCATCATTCACATTTGAAATGAATGGAAAGGCCATTAATCTGTTCTAGCCACTGAAAAATTGCCATTTTATTTCACTTTTTTAAATCTGGAAAATAGCACTCTAAATATTGTACTGTAAAAAAAAAAGACAAACACATCCAGTAAAAGCATAAATCCTAAATGCCTATAATGCCTATAAATAGCAAAATCGCACAATCCTGACTGATAAAAATGCTATTTCCTAGCGATCACATTTATTTACCTGGATGTTCGTGTGCTTTGTTCAGAGTGGACAACTAGTTTTCATTTTTTTTCTCAAGCCACATCGCATCCTCTGGAGTCCTCTGGCTCCTCTCGGTTGAGAGAAGCGTTACGATGTAACCCGTTGCTGTACTTAAACAACACAAGGATCGGAATTTCATCTGGAAAACATCTCTCTCTCTCATCTCAATTTTTTTAATTTAACGCGTGTGCTGTTTTAATCTGGTTATCTGCATTTGGTTGGCACACGTCTGTTTTCTTGTGCCTGTGTGCTTTTTCAGTGTCATTCACGACAGCCAAACGGAATGAGCCATTGTTAACACGGGAGAGCGACGGCAGCGGATACAACCGTTTGACAGCTCGTATTAGTGTATTAGACACAAACAGTGGCACAGATGCTCCCGGTCAGTCCTTGGTCAGCCTGGGGCTTTGCATAACGGCCTAGTGACAGGTGGCTTTGTGGCCCTGTCTCATGGTTGACAGGGTGCTAAAGTGGGAGCTCATCTTCAATGGACTACTGGGATCAAAAAAAAAAAAATACAAGAGCTGTTTCACACACGTTAAGCACACACAAATCTTTACGGCGTAGTAAATTAACACAGGATCATATATAAAGGTTTCACATGATATTAGTAGCGGATGGTTCCGATGTTCAGTTATGCTTTACTATTTTTCAGATAAAACTTTTACATTAATGTCAGAAGTATTTTACCAACTAACATGTCCCTTGATTTGTCTTTTTTTTTTTTTTTCATTAAAGAGTTGAGAAAGGGAGTTGGGGGTCACACATGGACACATAATAATAACAATCGACAGGTTTGAATCTTGGCCAGACTCTAGTGTAGATTTTGAAATATTCTGACAAAGATGGATGGACGGATGGATGTTATAATGTTGTGGCCGGTCACTGGTAGATAAAATAACTAAAATGTTTTTTTGGGGGCCGAGGGGGGGGGGGGGGGGTGGTGGGGGATCGAAGCAAGTGCACAAAGTAAGGCCAAGAAACATTTATTGTCAAGGTGTTCTGCTCCAGTGGTTCCCTTGAGAGGGAAATGTTGCCTTTACTGTAACTATTGTCATTTGTCACAGCACAGAGATCAAAAGTTCACTTCTCACTTTCACGCTACTAGTTGGGGAAAAAAAGAAAAAGGAATTCTCCAGGCTCCAATGTTTTGTGAAACTGAAAAAAAAAAAAAAAAAAATTACAATATTTTTCCATCACACCTTTTTGAAGTTTTGGAAAGCCTCAAGGGTGCGGCAGAATGAGTCGAACATGTAATAGAGTCAATCGGAAGACTATGAAGTTTTCGAGAGAAAAAGTGGGACAGCTTGAAAAAGAAAGACACTGAAGACTGAGTGACCCTTTTGACACAACTTTGTTTTCATTCGCTTCGCTAGAAGTTTTGGTGTCACAGAATTGTCTTGCGGATCACATGCGCCGTATGACGTTTACGATGTTCTCGCTCAGCTCAGAGTGAGTCGGCCTGACAGAATGCTTTGGCGCGCTTACTGTTTATTTCTACCAAAGAAATTCTGTTCAGAGTCTTCTGAGCTTTTTGTTTGCTTTTATGAAGAACGCAAAAACCGTAAAGCCTTCCGCAAAACAAGCCATGTGGCCAAATGCAACTGAAATCAACCTTCTTTTCACCAGAAGCTTTTTTTCTCTGCTTTTTGGGTGAAACCAAGCTACGTTCTTCTGCTGATTATCAAAAGAAAAAACATTTTGTTTCTCGTGAAAGAAGAGAATCTACTCTCTCTTTTGGGAGGTCATAGAACACAATATTATGTGGGTCTTGAAAAACGATTCAGAATGCTCTAAAACAGCTGGCAATATGGGGAATTCTACTTTGTAAAGGTCTGGCATTCAATGAGGAATATATTTTAGTGTGCGTCTAAATCATTTTGTATCATCGCACTCAAACCTGCTGCCCTCATAAGGTTCATTTAGTCTACAGTAATCATTGTCCGCGTCTTTTCCTGGAGAAGAGTAATTGTGAGGACGGTGGAGGGAATAAATCTTGACACACTGAGCCTCTGTTGAAATAACATCGTGCTTCGGAGGACTGCACAGGGCGTGAACTTCATTTGAGGTGAGGAGTTGTGCTATTTTAAGAAGGCTAACGCCGTCATCCCAAGAGGAATAAAGATTAATCTCAAATCACAATGCGGTGTGCATGCAATGAACTCCCGCTGCGAGGGTGTCACTGCTTCCGTGTGTATGTTTTACGTGCTCATTCCATAATTTTTCGGAGGAAATCTCACTTCTGGCGAAAATATCAGAAACCACTCTAACCTACTGACGAACACAAAGCCTCGAACGAGTTTGACAGAAGATGTATCTCCTTTTTGTCTCCATGAATGCAAGCACAGCAGAAAATTCTGAGAAGAATTCACTTTTTGTACCTTGAGACACTGCAATTGTTTAAGTCAGGCAGCATCAGCAGCAATCAGGCAAGACACGTTAACCCCACATGCAAAATGAGCTGTCCTCCACGTTGTCCTCAATGATGATCATTATCTATCTCATGGCTTGAGCGAGGTTGTTCACCTTGGCAGCTCCACATGCTGTCCATCACAGCCACAGTTTGAACAGTAAATTCCAATGACGATAAAAATCCAGTACATTTTTCTTTGCATAGATGGTGATTTGGTTTTGTTTTCCAATGTCTGTGTGAATCAAACTAGTCATTTTACATGAACTGTGATTATGAATGCAGCCCACAAAATCATTATGCACCGTGGGTGCCTCATTATAGGTTTGTTTACAGATGTGACCGGATCAAGGTAATATCAGTCCAATGCTAATTGGTAGTCTTAAATGATGGCGCTGGTTTTTATTTCATGAGACAGATTCGTTAAATTATTTGCATGATGTGTTTTTTTTTCCTTTCTTCTTTCCACCCACATTGACCATTGGCAAAGCGTATAGCATACCAATCCAACAAACGTCAACCACAAAACTAGAACTGAAAGGCTTTCTATGAAGAGCAAGGTAAATTTAAATAACGTAATTTAAGGCGCCAGATAGTAAAACTTTTATTTAAGCATTGGGAATAAGAGAGCAGAAACATGGAAGTGCTGCAATAGAAATTACAACAAAAATCATTTTTATACGTCGTGCATAATTTAAAAATTGGGCCAAAAAGGACTATTTAAACAAATGACTGATGGATATCAAAGCATTAACTGTAGGCTAATATGATTGAAATTCTGACAGCATACCTTCTCTGTTTAATATGCTTCATAATGAGCTTTAATATGAACTAAATGTATATGTTAATGAAGATCTGGCTCTGTACAGGGACAAGAGACTGGGAAGCTTGTCTCAATGAAAATCTCTCTTTGCGGAAATAGGCACTGAGAAGCTTTTTTTTTTTTTTGCTGAAAAGCATCCTATCTTATAATTATCGCGCGGCAGCGGTGACTCATCTGAAAGGACCTGGTTTGATAACATGTAGGGGTTGGACTGGTTGCTGGAGAGATGGCCTACTGAGTAGTTCCGAGTGTGTGTATGCATGTGTTACAAAGAAAAATATCTATGAATCAATACAGTTATGCCTTTTAGTTGATAATTGATGGTTTGATAGTCAGAAATGGTGCATCCGAAAGGGAAGCGAGTCTATCCTAATTGGAACTACATTTCCCATGAGTGGCTACCATTCCCAGCATCCTTTGCTCCAGGCATGCGCACTCTCTCTCTCTCACATAGAAACAAGAAGGTCGCAGTTAGCAGCATAGAACAGAAATCAGCACTTCATGATGTTGGGACAGGCTATACGGCGATTCACGACGTCTGCTGTTCGTTCTTCGCATTATGCCGAAGGACCAGGGAAGGTAAAATAAATAACTGATTTAAAGCCGAGGTTGAAGGTTAAATGTGGTCGTTTTAAATAGCGGCCTAGTGTTATGCGCGGACCATGGTAGCAAAGGTAACCTGGAGGTCATGCCGTTAAATTGCTCCACTGAGTAGTTAAAAGCAATCTCGTAAAACAAAAATAAGACTACAAAGGAGAGCGTGTAAATAACGGATATTTCGTAAAGTAGTAACGTAACGTTGGAAGTATTTATGAAGGCGGCGAACGACTGTTCTTGCAGTTAGCATTATCTTCGCGGCTAAATAGCTGCTCAACCCTGTTTTTCAATTTGACACTTAATACAAACTTGTCCGTGTCATGCACATGACTTGACATGTATGTTTGTCAGTGTTATTACATGTATTTGTATGAATCAGTGTTTAGTGGTCTATTTTTTTGTGAGCAACAAAGTAATTAGCAAGTCTTGCTACCAAGGGCTGATCTGTAAATGACGTTTGTATCCATCCCAAGTTCAATGAAGGCTCCGTCTTGTGTCAGTGATAATTCAGGGTTGTTTTTACGTTCTTTCTTTTGCCTTCGAATTCATTGTGGCAATGACATGTTGCTGCAATTTTAGTTATTTGGAATAGAAATGTTCATTGGTTTTTAAGCAAAGTGTAGCACACCGGGTTTTTATTGGTCAGCACAGCTTGCGAAAGAGGTTTAATGTGTTTATTTTGTAATTGTCATTTCATGCTCATGTATGACTGATTTCTGTTGAACACCGTTGTGTTTGTCTAGAACCTTCCATTTTCCGTGGAAAACAAGTGGCGTCTGCTGGGCATGATGGTGGTGTTCTTTGGCAGCGGCTTCGCATTCCCCTTCATTGTGGTCAGACATCAGATCTTGAAGAAGTAAAATGTCTTTGACGGTAATTATTATTTATTTGGTTTTGTAAAATGTCAGTATGCTTGCTTCCAGCTTGTAGAGATGGTGCAATTTCATTATGGTTATCCTGGCAAAGCCTCTATCATCAAAAGTGTCTTTACAAGTCATTACAACTGTCATGTTGTTGTTCCTCTTTTTTGCAGGCCATCAGCAGGAACATATTTCTTCAACAGACTTCTACATGTGCAGAACAGTGGGACTCTATCAATCTTTGTAAATAAAATTACCTCAAATATGACTCTGTCTTTTAATTTTTATTTGTATTATTTTTATTTTATTTTTTTAGAAAACTGCACTGTTATTCCATAATGGCCAAAATACAGTAATACCATTACGCATTTGGTGTGAAACTAAATAATTTTAAATCTGATTAACTGTTTACATCACTGCTCTCCAAACCTTTTTTCGTGCCACATAATTATAAACTGCTCCAAAAAATACAGGGAACATTTAAATAGCACAATGTAACTCCAAGTATTCGCTTTATTTTTTTGATCAGTATATTTTGATGGACCAACAAATAAGGGGGAAAAAAATCCAAAATACAATTCACCATTATGCCGAAAGTAGTGATTAGTTAGATTATATGGATTTGTTAGTCTTCAATGAGCCTTAGCAAAGCATTTATAGTTTGATGCTTTTAGAGCAGTGGGGGAATAAACTGCTGATGAATAAATATTCCTGGCTGGGTGGTAACATCCATTTGGGGCTGAAAGAAAGAAAAATGCTGGGTACCAAATGATGCCAATCCACGGACCAGTTGTTGTGGACTCCTGCTTTAACCCACCTTTAGCATAGGCTACTCCTGACCATGGAAAAGCACCATGTTACCCATCATCCTTTGCAGCAGTAAGATTCCAAGCAACAGGTTAACAATGGCATTCGGTGACCCTACACTAATGCTTGAAAGTACAAAAGCTCAATAAAAGAAAATACCAATGGAAAAGAAGCAACAAATGGTGAGCCATTAATAATTTTATAAGGTAGCACGATCGTCTCATAGTTTGCACGTCTGCCTCAGTTCTGAGGTTCAGGATGAGGAGCTCTGCTTTGCCTTTCAGTGTAGAGTGTGCAAGCCCTTCCTGTGCCTGCTTGGGTTTCCTTCCTACATACCCGCAAAAACCTGCACGTTAGGTTAATTGAAGACTCAAGTGCATTTCTAAAGCCAAGATGAAGACATTTTGCGTTGCCTGCACGGCTGTCTGTGGGTTGGCCTTTTGCGTACAAGAAGTTAAAATACGCCACAAAACCTCATGCATATAGTTATCTTTTGACCCTAGAATCTGCATTCGTCAAGTGTTGTATAACATCGCTGCTCTAAACTACCGTTAAACGTGAAAAATTGAAGGCGTGTGGGGAATTTTAGTCTTCCTCCCTCCTGATGACTATGCGTGCGGCCCCTTTCAGTTGAACTCTTCGTAACTTATTTCCGTTCAATTAACCTTCTGCTCGTAGCGATGATTATCCAAGGACAAAGTATTCAAAAGCTTGGCTGTAATGTGAATTTTTTGTTCCCCGTGCTGCGCCTGAGCTGGCACGAATCCACGAGAGGCTCACAATGCGACGCGAGCGTGAAAAACAACCTGACAGGCCTTTTTGTGTCTCACAAACACATCCCTAATAGTGACTTGTAAGCCTGCCAGGTACTCGTGCGTGTGTATGGAATATGTAATCTATGAAATTGTGTGTGCCATTGGCTTGCTGAATGGTCGCGCAAGCAGGCTCCGCCACTCTTGCTTGGCTCTTATAAAGTGTCAGAAATGTAATGGGGTCAACGAGTAGGGAGTGTTTTCGATTCGTTTCACTTCAAATAGGTTGTCCTTTGTGGAAAGAGCAAGGGGAGAGAGGATGTGGTCTTAATGTACATTGTCGCAGCATTCTCAATCTCCAAAGAGTTTTCACTTCAGGCCGCGTTTAACTCTTGTGGCAACCTTTAATTTTTCCTGCTTCTTCACGTGTGGGAACGCCATCAGCGTCTCATGAGAAATTGTCAACACTGCATAATGCATGACATTGAAATTCTGCTCCCTGTGATCTCGCCATATCTTTCTCTGCTTTATACAGACGGCAGCGCCGGGCCCGTCATCGTCAGCAACAACAATCTCTTTTCAGGATGTTCCCTCATATCAGCGTGTAATGAGCCATCCTTCATGTCGCTCATTCTTTTTGCAGACACCTCTTAAGAGCTCTCGAGGCATCAGAGACAAATACGTGTCTCTGAATTGATGTTTCATCCCGGCGCCCTCCACTGAGTACTACACAAGAGGCTGTGAATATGCGACTTTTCATGATGCCATTTGTCAGACAAGAAACACTGCGGATTGTCGATTTTTTTCCCCCCTCTCCATGTTTGGAATCTTCGAAAGATGAACTTTTGTTCTCTGAACTGTGACAATGTATCACTGTAAAAGAAGAAAACTGCCAGCAGCTATGCTTGCCTTCACATTGCATTTTCTGTGACATTTGACTGAATGTCCTTGATATGCTGTAAGTAAAATTTATGATGAGTTAATTGATTAATTGACCTTCTTTTACATGCAGTTTTAATGTAAGGCCACCGATTTGCACACTGATCATATGCACCTGGTTCAAAACGTTCAGACTGCATATCCACCGTATTCTGGACTCCACCGCAATTATGATTTTGCTTTATTTGTTGATTAAGATGTGTTCCGAAACTGTGTTTAATATTTTGACAAAGCTACAATGAGCAATTTGAAACGTGAAAGAAAGAGAATTACCCATTGGTGTGTTTAAAACAACCACGTAACTTGGTCTTAAAAGCTTGACGCTAACACACGATGGGAAACATGCTAACAAATATGTTAGTGTCGCAACGGTATAACGCTTTAAACAACAGACTTGAACACAAAAGGTGGTGCAACATAGGTAGACAGGTAATTTAAGAATACTCACAGACGTACATTCATTATCCTCTGTGAAGAACAGCTCATATTACTGCATCTTAGTTGCGACAGTATTCTTAATTGTGGTCCATTGCCAAAATGTATACAGGCATTCTGAATATATTAAACATGTGGCACACACACCAGAAGGAGCAGCACAATCGATTAATTAAACTTTATTTATATCTATTTCATTAAAAAAAAAAAAAAAACTGCAACTGAAAATTCTTTAACTGCCCAAGAAAGAAATGGTCCATATCAATGGCTATTGAAGTATAACAATCATAAATCATCAAATAGTTCATTTCTTTACATTATATTTACGTATGTGGCTTACTAAGCAATTGTGACAATCTCCTTCATTTATATCTGTAGGTCTATTTGATACTGTCAGGTGGCCAAGATGCACACCAGAAGGTGCAGCACAATGCCCAGTGAATTGAAGCAAAAAAATATGACCAACATTAATTATTTACATTCAACTGAATTATGTAGTTAGTGTATTATTTAAAATAGCACAATTCTACTTACAAAGCACATTACAAAAATGTATGTGTTTTTTATTTTTTTGCCGGGAAGAAGCTGGAACGGTTTAATAGCATTTCCATCCATTTCAGTGGAGAAAGATGATTGGGGATATGAATGTTTTGATTTACAAGCATGGTCACGGACAGTTTAAACTTGTATCTCAAGGCATGACTGTAGTAGTAAACACAATACATTCCAAAGTTTCGTTTTTATCATCACGTCATGTAAGACTGTTTCTTTGACGTTTGTTAAAACATTGACTGTACGGTTCAATAATGGTGACCTGGTCAACTACTGTCTTGGAATGGACTGTGTTTGACTTCCTGTATGTAAGCGTGCCAGTTCAAAAGTATTTCCATATTTGGAGCTCTTTTCCCTGAAAAATGACACGGGATGTGGATTTGCGCCTCGAGAAAGTACAAATTTTGGATTAAATGGAGTGGAAAATCACATTATTTGGGCGTCTCAGAGAGAAAAGTGCACTCTTTGGGCATTTATGCTATAAATGTTTGATCTATTATCTTCCATTAGGCTTCTTAGTGGGGCTTTTAAGAACCCGAAGTGATGCCTCACTCCATCAGTGTGGACAAATTAGAGACAGTGGTGTTATCCCGCAAGATACGGGGGCCTAGCTGCATGTGTATTTCAGGCGACTTAGCAAAAGTCTGTGCTGGAGGAGGACATGTTGCAGCAGGGGTTCCTATGCGGCGCTCACAATAACCCACACGACACATTTCAACTGGGCTCGTCATGTCTCCCCGGCGTGGAGAAGCTGGGGGAGGGAAGCACAGAGTACCATACAGGAAGGATCACACCAGCATGCCAAGTCTATTTGCAGGAGTTTGTCATGCTACATTCAGTATGCCAGTGGAAGGGAATATGCTATTGTGCGTTTCTGCTGTTTTTTTTTTTTTTTCGTGGTTATACTCGCTTTTGCATCTTCATTAAAGCCAGTAAACTCATTATTGTAATTGTTGTGCCGAATGCTTTGCATTCCCGGGCGTACAGGCTCTAATTAAAACAAAGTGTAGTCATTAAAGATCAATTCCATGCCAGTTTATACTCATTCAGAGATTGCTTAACGTCATGCATGCTAATAAAATAAATAGGTTATCCTCATTACTGCGGCAACTAAAAAAGGTACGTCTTCACCTTGTGATCTCTGTTGCGGCAATTACTTGGAAACTGTGTCCAAGTGGCTAAATGCTGTTTAAAAAAAAAAAAAACTGCAACTGAAAATTCTTTAACTGCCCAAGAAAGAAATGGTCCATATCAATGGCTATTGAAGTATAACAATCATAAATCATCAAATAGTTCATTTCTTTACATTATATTTACGTATGTGGCTTACTAAGCAATTGTGACAATCTCCTTCATTTATATCTGTAGGTCTATTTGATACTGTCAGGTGGCCAAGATGCACACCAGAAGGTGCAGCACAATGCCCAGTGAATTGAAGCAAAAAAATATGACCAACATTAATTATTTACATTCAACTGAATTATGTAGTTAGTGTATTATTTAAAATAGCACAATTCTACTTACAAAGCACATTACAAAAATGTATGTGTTTTTTATTTTTTTGCCGGGAAGAAGCTGGAACGGTTTAATAGCATTTCCATCCATTTCAGTGGAGAAAGATGATTGGGGATATGAATGTTTTGATTTACAAGCATGGTCACGGACAGTTTAAACTTGTATCTCAAGGCATGACTGTAGTAGTAAACACAATACATTCCAAAGTTTCGTTTTTATCATCACGTCATGTAAGACTGTTTCTTTGACGTTTGTTAAAACATTGACT